ATGACCCAAACATTGGAGCATCCCTATGTGAACCTCCTGAGAATGTTCAAAAATCTTTATCTGCGATTTTGTGGCAAATATCGCCAAAGGGAACAACTGTTATTTTTGGGCTGATTACAAATAATAAAACCTCCCCAAAAAGGTGTTTTATTCTGCAAGGAGAAAATCCTGCCCGGTTGGAAGTGCTGAAGGCAATACTACGTTTTGGGAACCACCCCTAAAACAAACAATAAAATTCGCCTGCCTTATTGATAAAGTAAAACCAATTTATATCCGTTTTTGTGTTACAATTTTTAATTAGTTGCACTCAATCACAGAATGGCAGGACATACGACTAACTGGACATTTGCACAAAAATTTGCATCCTGTTCGCCACAGTCAAATAAATATCCAAACAAAGAAGTACCCATACTTTCACTACCAAGTGAAAGTAAGCAGATTTGTCTTCTAACCGCTGACGCCTGTCTTCTTAAGAAATTATTTATGGATTTCAGATTTGTTCTCATTTGGGGGGAAATATAAGGCAAATTTGCATAGCAACAATATCAACCCCCTCCAGAGGACCCACAAGATATTTGCATACACTGGACATACCTACCTTTTATTGGGTACTTTCCCTAAACTACCCTCCTCTCATTGGCAAATAAATCAATAACCCTCGGAACGAATTGCCTTGTTGAGATTTTTTACCGATTTTTTTTAAACCGAGATTTTGAATATTTTTATGTGTTTAATTTCTTTATTTTTTTAAAAGTAGAACAAAAAAAATCGTTTGACCCCATAATGACCAAGTCGTAAATATTGCCATAATGTGCCCACAGAAGTATTGATCTTTGGTCAGTTTTTTTTTTTCTAAGATTAGGTGGAGATTTTCTTTTTTTATTTATTTAAATAATGTTATTTAGTTGTGACATTTATGGGCCATGTGTGGTCGGCCGGTCACTCTGGGAAAGGTCATAAAATCATAAATCGGATTATTAAAAAAATCGAACAAATATTTTGCGGTTTGATTTGTATTCAATAGAAAGGAGACTTAAATCGTGGGAATAATTTTCGTGGAACAACAAATTATATGTATACAGGCGTGGATTTTTTTTAAACATTTTTTTCAAGGGCCTACCATAGGCGTGGATTTTTTTAAAATATTTTTTTCAAGGGCCTTCCATAGGCGTGGATTTTTTAAATATTTTTAAGGGCCTTCCATAGGCGTGTATTATTTTAAATATTTTTTTAAGGGCCTACCATAGGCGTGGATTTTTTTTAAATATTTTTTTCAAGGGCCTACCATAGGCGTGGATTTTTTAAATATTTTTTTCAAGGTCCTACTATAGGCGTGTATTTTTTTAATATTTTTTTCAAGGGCCTACCATAGGCGTGGATTTTTTTAAAATATTTTTTTCAAGGGCCTACCATAGGCGTGGATTTTTTTTAAATATTTTTTTCAAAGGGCCTACCATAGGCGTGGATTTTTTTTTTAAATATTTTTTTCAAATGTCCTTCCATAGGCGTGGATTTTTTTAATATTTTTTTCAAGGGCCTACCATAGGCGTGGATTTTTTTAATATTTTTTTCAAGGGCCTACCATAGGCGTGGATTTTTTTAAAATATTTTTTTCAAGGGCCTACCATTGGCGTGGATTTTTTTTAAATATTTTTTTTCAAGGGCCTGCCATAGGGGTGGATTTTTTAAATATTTTTTTAAGGGCCTACCATAGGCGTGGATTTTTTTTAAATATTTTTTTCAAGGGCCTACCATAGTCGTGGATTTTTTTTAAATATTTTTTTCAAGGGCCTACCATAGGTGTGGATTTTTTTTAAATATTTTTTTCAAGGGCCTACCATAGGCGTGGATTTTTTTTAAATATTTTTTTCAAGGGCCTACCATAGGCGTGGATTTTTTTGTAAACATTTTTTTTCAAGGACCTACCATAGGCGTGGATTTTTTTTAAATATTTTTTTCAAGGGCCTACCATAGTCGTGGATTTTTTTTTAATATTTTTTTCAAGGGCCTACCATAGGCGTGGATTTTTTTTAATATTTTTTTCTATGGCGTGGATTTTTTTAAAATATTTTTTTCAAGGGCCTACCATAGTCGTGGATTTTTTTTAAATATTTTTTTTCAAGGGCCTACCATAGGCGTGGATTTTTTTTTAATATTTTTTTTAAGGGCCTACCATAGGCGTGGATTTTATTAAATATTTTTTTCAAGGGCCTACCATAGGCGTGGATTTTTTTTTTAATATTTTTTTCAAGGGCCTACCATAGGCGTGGATTTTTTTTAATATTTTTCTCAAGGGCCTACCATAGGCGTGGATTTTTTTTAAATATTTTTTTCAAGGGCCTACCATAGGCGTGGATTTTTTTTAAATATTTTTTTCGAAGGCCTAACATAGGCGTGGATTTTTTTTAAATATTTTTTTCGAAGGCCTAACATAGGCGTGGATTTTTTTAAAATATTTTTTTCAAGGGCCTACCATAGGCGTGGATTTTTTTTAAATATTTTTTTCAAGGGTCTACCATAGGCGTGAATTTTTTTTAAATGTTTTTTTTCCAAGGGCCTACCATAGGCGTGGATTTTTTTAAAATATTTTTTTCAAGGGCCTACCATAGGCGTGGATTTTTTTAAATTTTCTTTCAAGGGTCAATGCAAGGCGTGGATTTTTTTTTAAATATTTTTTTCAAGGGCCTACCGTAGGCGTGGATTTTTTTAAATATTTTTTTCAAGGGCCTACCGTAGGCGTGGATTTTTTTAAATATTTTTTTCAAGGGCCTACCATAGGCGTGGATTTTTTTAATATTTTTTTTTTCAAGGGCCTACCATAGGCGTGGATTTTATGAAATATTTTTTTCAAGGGCCTACCATAGGCGTGGATTTTATTTAAATATTTTTTTTAAGGGCCTACCATAGGCGTGGATTTTATTAAATATTTTTTTCAAATGTCCTACCATAGGCGTGGATTTTTTTAAATATTTTTTTCAAGGGCCTACCATAGGCGTGGATTTTTTTTTAAATATTTTTTTCAAGGGCCTACCATAGGCGTGGATTTTTTTAAATATTTTTTTCAAAGGCCTACCATAGGCGTGGATTTTTGTTTAATATTTTTTTTTTCAAGCCGGAAATATTTCTCTAGTTTTTTTTAATTATCCGATTTTGCCTTTTATGACCTCTTACAAAGTAACTGACCACACATGACCCATAAATTTCACAACTAAATGACATTATTTAAATAAATAAATAAAGAAGAAGATCGTCACCTAATCAAACAAAAATCTGACCAAAGATCAATACTTCTATGGGCACATTACGGCAATATTTACGACTTGGTCATCATGGGGTCAAATGTGATTTTTTGTTCGTCCTTAAAAAATAAGAAATTAAACACATAAACATACTAAAATTCTCTGCTTAAAAAAAAAAAATAAACAAAAAATCGCAACAAGCCAATTCGTTCCGTGGGCCATTGATTTATTTGCCAACGAGACTAGGGTAGGTTAGGGAAAGTGGCCAATGAAAGGTAGGAATGTCCGGTGTATGCAAATATCTTGTGTGCTTCAAATTGGAGGGAGGGTTGTTGCTGCTATGCAAAATTTTGCCTTATTTTCCCCCGACAAAGAAAAAATCGGAAATCCATAAATAATTTCTCAAGAAGACAGGCGTCAGTGGCTAGTAGACAAATCTTTTTACTTTCACTTAGTACTGAAAGTATGGCTACTTTTTGTTTGGATATCTATTTGTCTGTGGCGAACAGGATGCAAATTTTTGTGCAAATGTCCAGTCAGTTGTCCTGCCATTCTGTGATTAAGTGCAACTAATTAAAAATTGCGACACAAAAAAGGATCTGAATTCGTTTTACTTTATCAGTGAGGATGCAGAGGTTTTCTCATTGTTTTAGGGGTGGTTCCGTAAACTAAGTCGTGCCTTCAGCACCTCCAACCGGGCAGGACTTTCTCCTTGTAGAATAAAACACCTTTTTGGGGAGGTTTTATTATTTGTAATCAGCCCAAAAAATAACAGTTGTTCCTTTGGTGATATTTGCCATAAAATCAAAGTTAAAGATTTTTTTAAAGATTTCCAGCAGGAATTGATACTCCAAAGTTAGGGCCATAAAATCGAACCAATAATTAAAAATTCAATTTTATTTCGATTTTATTTGCTTGTAATCTCTTCAATTCAAGTGCTATAAATCATTTGGCCTTTCTTCGCCTTTGACGAATTGTATCAATTTGAGTGATCATAAAATTTGGGAGCGAAATTTGTCAGAAAATTTGATGGTATCCATCCACCGAAAATCTTGTACTTTTTATGATCAACTGATTGAGACAGTATTGAACAAAATAAATCCACACCTATTGTGGCTTCATAAAAAAATATTTTTTGAAAAGTTCACGTCTGTTGTGGGTCTATGAAAAAATATTTTTTGAAAAGTCAACGCCTGTTATGGGTCTATGAAAAAAATATTTTTAAACAAGTGAGCGGAGCAGCATAGTCGGACGGGGCCGACCATATGTCACCCTACACAATTACCACGAAAAGCAAACTTTCTGCGGTTCTATATTCTGAGCCTGGGCAATATTTCGTGATATTTGCACCCCTTTTACCGATTATGGATCAACAACTCCACTTTCTAACCCTGGCAAGTTTTCCAATTTTTTTTTCTTGAATTGAATGTTTACGCCGTAAAATAAAAAAAATATGGTCGCTTTAGGTTTTGGTTGATTGGACCCGCGGAATATAGACCGATTATCACCTAAACAGCTGTTCTACGTATTTAGTCGTGTAAAATATGTGATGTTCTGCATATAATAATTGCCTCTAGAGCGACTAGAAAATCTGACAAAATAAAATTTTTGGGTTCATTGTACCCCCTGATGGAAATCTCAACTTCACCGAAAACTATAGGCGTCGTCCTTGACCATAATCGGAACTTCGTGTACAATTTCAATTCAATTTCAAAGCGTTCGGCGCAACATTTCTGTCCTGTAATGGAGTAATAGTAATAATATGATCAACGTCAAGAGGGTCAATATAATATTCGTGCCGATTGGGATAATTTCATGTTCCTGCTGATACCGGCCAGCGCTACGGATAATTTGAGTATTTTCGATATCTTAGGAAAATCTGGTTCAAGACGTACTCCGCACTCCTCATTAAAATCATCAAATAAAAAGAAATATTCTCCCAGCAATTCGGGTCTGAAGCCGGCGGATGGTGGTTCTCTGAAATATCGTCAGGCTATGAAGAATCCTGTGGAGTATTTACCAAGGTCCAGTGAAAAATTATCACCCTCTTCGAGAGTGGGAGAATTTATTGAAGGCCGAACGCCATATCATGGGGACATATCTGCCCTGCACGATGATGGTGAGGTGCAGTCTCGTTTGAATCCTGATAGGCAAGTTGATGTCCTGCCACCACCTTCATATCCTTTGGCCTATCAGCATCTGATGAAACCCTATTTGGAGGCGGATTCGACAATTATTCAGGTCCTGCCACCGGCAGAATTGGCGGGCAATCGGGCTTATTCAGGTAAATATTTGAAACTAAATAATTAAATAATGGATTAAAAAAATATATTTTTGAGGGCCCATGAGAGGCGTGGATTTTTTTTTTTAAAAAAGGTGACTATCTTTACCTAATTACGTGTAACTCCCACATCAGAGTACATACAGCCATATAATTGGTATCCATTTGAAGGTCAGCAACTCCTTCTAACAACTTCTCGGGTATATGTCCTCCAGGAGCAAGTATATACGCCCCAGAATAAAAATTTTGTAATTTTTCACACAAAAGTCAGGGTCCATTTGAGCCGCTACATATTGACCGATCTTTATCAAAACAGGCATGCTTATTTTTTGGACCAATATTTTTCTCCATGTAAAAATTCGATATGTTTGGGCCATAAATGCGGCCTCTGCAGCGATCGGCTAAAGATCGGTTAATCCGCTAAATATTAACCGATCTTTAGCAAAAACAATAGGGGTCTTCATTGGCCCGAACCCATTCTACATGAAGATTGGTCCATAACTGTGACATGTATCGTGTTTACAAACCAGTAAGGAAAGTAGTAAAGTCGGACGGGGCCGACTATATGATACCCTTCACCACTATGGGTATATTAAACAGGACTACTAACATGAAATTGAATGAAATGAAATATATGATATTTATCTAAATGTGAAACTCAACTACGTAATGCATAATTTTGGACGTTGTTCAAAATTTGATGTTAATCTGACTAACATGCGGAGTTTGATGCTCAACTTACTTAAAATCGGGCGAAAATATATATGAATGCTATATCCAAATATGAAGCGATTTCAACGAAACTTGTCACAGGTAAGGTTATACTAATTCCAGTACGTTTTGTTTTAGTGCGTCAATTACTTAAAATCAATCAATAATAAAAGGGAGCTATATATAAATCTCAACCAATTTTCACGAAACTTGGCACACATCATTTTGGACTAAATTTACATTAAATCGGACGAAAATATATATGGGAGCTATATCTAAATCTTGACCGATTTTCACGAAACTTGACCGACATTACTATAGGCTCAATTTAGTACGTTATGCCAAATTTCGTGCAAATCGAAAGATATATATAGGGACTTTGGTGCCCCATTAACATAAAATCGGACAAAACTATATATGGGAGCTATATCTAAATCTGAACCGATTTTCTCGAAACTTGACAGACATCACTCTAGGCTCAATTCAGTACGTTATGCCAAATTTCGTACAAATCGAAAGATATATAGGGACTTTGGTGTACCATTAACATAAAATCGGATGATACTATATATGGGAGCTATATCTAAATCTGGACCGATTTTCTCGAAACTTGGCAGAAATCACTCTAGGCTTAATTCAGTACGTTATGCCAAATTTCGTGCAAATCGAAAGATATATAGGGACTTTGGGCACCATTTACATGAAATCGGACGAAACTATATATGGGAGCTATATCTAAATCTGGACCGATTTTCTCGAAACTTGGCACACATCACTATAGGCTTAATTCAGTACGTTATGCCAAATTTCGTGCAAATCGAAAGATATATTGGGACTTTGGGGCACCATTTACATGAAATCGGACGAAACTATATATGGGAGCTATATCTAAATCTGAACCGATTTTCATGAAACTTGGCAGACATAATTCTAGACCTAAATGATTGGGCTGTACCAAATTCCGTGCAAATCGAAAGATATATAGGGACCGTTTAAATTAAATCGGTTAAATATATATATGGGAGCTATATCTAAATCTGAACCGATTTTTCCCAATTTCAATAGGGCCGAATAAGTGACCTATGCCAAATTTATCCATTTCGGATCATAAATGCGACCTGTACTTTGTTTACAATTTAACATGCACAGACAGACAGACAGACAGACGGGCAGACGGACGGACGGACAGGCATAAATCGACTTAGAAAGTGATTCTATGCATATTCTCAAAAGGAACCATGTGTCCATCTCGTTTCCTTTTGCCTGTTTCAAACATATGCACAAAGACATAATACCCTGTACCACAGTGTGGTGAAGGTTATAAAAAAAAAACAAAAAAAAAAAAAAAATAAGTTTTCGGTCCATTCCATCCCAATATTATTATCTGATCACCACACAAAATTTTTAGGCATTATCCTTGATCCTCATGGAAAATTTCAAAGCGATCAGTGACATATTTCCACCCTTTAGTGTGGTAATGGGTTACTAAATATTATCTTTTTTCACACAAAAGTCAGGGTCCATTTGCCCCACTAAATATTGACCGATTTTTATCAAAACAGGCATGCTTATTCTTTGGCCCGATTACCTTCTCGCGATGTTTGGGGCATAATTTCAACCTCTGGAGCGACCAGAAAAACCGACAAAAATAAAGTTTTTGGTCCATTTCATCCTCTAAATATTAACCGATATTTACCGAAAACAATAGGGGTCTTCATTGGCCAGAACCCATCCTAGATAAAGATTGGTCCATAACTGTGGCCTGTATCGTGTTTACAAATTATAATGGACAGACGGACGGACGGACACACATGTCTAGATATGACGATCGGCAAAAACGGGTCTAGGACCAATATTTCGCGGCGTTACAAACTCTTGGGGCTTTACAACGCTAGCATACCCTGACAACATAGTTGTGTGTGTAGGGTATAAAAATCCACGCCTGTTGTAGGTCTATGAAAAAATATTTTTAAAAAATCCATGCCCATGGTAACTCTTTGAAAACATATTTTTAAAAAAAAAATGTATATTTTTTATACATCCTTATCTAAAGCGTTGAAAATTTTGAACATACGGTAGCCCATAAAAATTGAAACAATTCCAATAAAAAATGTAGTTATGTAAATTTTTTGTCTACCACTAAATCCATGCAAGCGTAACCAAATGGTCATGTTTAACAAGAAAAATAAGTAGAATACTCCAACAAGAGGGAGGGAGTTAAGGGCCTTAAGTATGACACGCTTTTGGCCAACCCTTAACCCCCCACCCTCTTATAAGAAATAGAGTTTGTTATTTTTTTAAGAATTTTTTTCTAGACCATATGTCTTGAGTTCGGTGAAAAGTAATAAAAATGCAAATTTACCATGGCAACAAAAACAACAAACATATAAAAAATACATTTTTTTATAATGACGATGAAGTAGGCATGTCAGCACCTACACCACCAAAAGATGGTTCACAAGAAATGTAGTGCTCTCCTTGAAAACCATTACCACCCGACCACGCAATAACAAGAGAGGATGCGGAACAACACATGTTTTCTTCTCGAGTTAACACTTCGGTGTGGGAAACTTGTTTGGGTTAGGAATGAAAACATTTTTTTATAAGGGCCCATATTAAAAAAACTTTGTTCGCTTTAAAAAAAATTTCGATAAAAATCTCTAGTCGACAAAATTTTCCAATTCCTATGGTAAGTAAAAAATTTATTTGTATATCTAATAAAAATCAAAGCCTTTTCAAACCCACCTCTATACTAATTGACCACTAGAGGACCTCCACTTGAAATGCAGGCTCTAATTATGTTTTTTGTAACGCCCAGCGATTTTTGTGAATTAGAAGTACTAATAAACTAATGTGCAAAATTATACGCCCGCCCATCAACCTCCAGAGCAAAAAAAAAAAAACGAAACAATTGCTCTAATTTTGAAAAAACCATATAATTGACAAATTTTGTGGTCGTTGAATATTCTCCCTTGACTAACGTCGTTCGTAAGGGCATTTGTTTTATCTCGTGCAATATGACACCTTTTCCAAGAAGTTAGGCAAATATGCTGGTCACTCATTCTGTCCAGTGGCTATAATAAAAAACCCTCCACAGCACCCAGCACACTTTAATAATTTGCATTTTTTGGTTATTGTTGTCCTAACCATGGCACGCGACAAGAATATGTAATTATGCATTTGCATCCAATGAATAGAGGGAGTTAATTAAAAGTAATTTCAGTCTTTTTTTTTTTTGCATTTCATTGTAACAACAGCAACAGCAACCCCTATGGCTGGACACACACATTCCGTTAACAATTCAAGTGCACAAACATGACGGTCTTTCGGGTGGACATTTGTTCTGTGGGCCAAGAACTAAAAACCACCCTTTAGCTGTTCCATGGAATTTCCATATTTGTTTTTTCGATTTTTTTTAAATACATGGTTTTTTATTACTTTCCTTGGCCCTCTACCGTGACCATACGCAGAAAAGTCTTTATGTCGAACAATGGAAAACTTTATGCCCACTTGAGTTTCCTTAAGATCTGTAAAGCGGATAAAGAGGTATTTTTCCCCGTTTGTGGGTTTTGTCATTTTTTATTGGCGTTTAATTTATTCATTGTTCAGATACTTTTGTCGGGTTTTGGGTGTCATCTGTTTAAGACGTTTCTGCTAAAACTCTTTCAGATATTAGGGTGGAGGTATTAAAAATAAATAATTAATTTCCAAAAACATTTTCATGGTCGGATATTTTCAAAAAAAAAAAAAAAAAATTTTTTTCAGGGTCCAAAGTAGGCGTGGATTTGTATACCCCCCACAACTATGTTGTCAGGGTATTATAGCTTTGTGCAGCCCCAAGAGTTTGTAACGCCGCGAAATATTGGTCCTAGACCCATCTTTAAGTATACCGATCTAGACATGTGTGTCCGTCCGTCTGCCTGTCCATTTTAATTTGTAAACACGATATAGGCCACAGTTATGGACCAATCTTCAAGAAATTTTGCATGTAGGATGGGTTCCGGTCAATGAAGACCCCTATTGTTTTGGGTACAGATCTGCAGAAAGTTAGAGTTCCGCGGTAGTTGTGTAGGGCAGCAACGTACACAGGATTTCATTTCGGAGGGGCCCGGTAGTGCAAAATGAAAAATTTCGCTGTTGCAAACATAAATTTACTGCGAAAAAAAATCGTTTCGGGGGGTGGGGGCCCGGGCCGCCCCCCATGCGTACGTCCCTGGTGTAGGGTATCGTAGGTCGGTCTCGTCCGACTATACTGCTCCGCTCACTGGTTTTAAATATATTTTTACAGACAA